TATGTTGTTCTAAAGAGAGAGAGAGAGAGAGAGGAGAAAGAATTCAGAACGAGCCTTTAGGAGGGAGAGGGAGAGGAAGAGGGAACAATAATTATAATCATTATGGTAATAAAACAAAATAATTATAGTAGGCTATAAATAGGCTACGAGTTAAGAGAAGGAGATGAGATTTTTTTTTTACTTAAAGGTTATCAATAGGCTATAAACAGAGCACATAATGAAGCGTTATTACGGTAGTTATTTCTTTATTTATATAGCTAGGCGAGGTAAAAGATTATAGTAATTTTTTACTATAAGGTTATCAATTTTTGTGTGATGTCTTCTTCTATTCACACCCATCCATTCCAAAGCATTTCCAAACTCATCTGTTTGTTTCATGGCAAACGATTGAGTTAATGGTTAAATTGATTTTAAGGACGATTTTTAAAAGTTATTTATGATCAGTTCTTTTGGTTCTTCCTCATTGACACCGAAAGAAGTTTAAATTGGTTCAAATTTTGCAGCTTTCACCTACCCGAGTTATTCATAAAACACTCCGACTTGGCCACAAACACTTCTGTTTAGGGTTAATTCAACCCTAATGCAGTCGCCAATTTTTTTACCGTTGGATCAACACATATACACAATCATACCCACATGGGTGTTTATTGATCCAACAGTAAAAACAAAACCACTACTGTAGTCACCGATTGGTTGAATGTCTTCAGTTTTGGCCCTTGTGACGAGTCTGTTTTGGGCCCTTCATAAGGTTGCCCTTGATATGCAGGCAAGCTATATGGCAAAAATGTGTCCGGAAATCAATTGCGAGAATCTGACGGTTGGGATTATTCGGTCCAACAGGAATTTAACCTGAAGTAATGCTATCTGACAAAGATCATGACTTGTACGGTCTCACAGCTGTTTTATCCCCAGCAGCCTTGATTGGGAAGATTGATTTATCATCGTTTTCTTTATTTGTGTACCTTATTATTCTGGATGAGTATAAACACTTAGAAAAAAAGAAATTAAATCGAATGCTGTGTTGAGTTCATGCGAATTTTCTCATCAATTTCACAAGAAAACTGACTGAAGATGGATCATCATATTACAACCAGTACATGAGTATGTAATAACAGAATGCATTCTAAGATACAAAAACAACCATATCGGCCCATCTAGAAAAGTTCTATTTTTTGTCATCACACACTTATTATCTTCTTGTGCCAAATATGCTAATACACAGCTATAACAAATTCGTGAAAATTGCCCCTTTGCATAAGGAAGAAGGGGAAGTTCACTCTTTGGTGATTACCTGATTATAATTGGGGCAACAGATGCTAGTTTTTCCTTGAAAGTCCTAGAAAGACAGCAGCGGATGAAATTTGGACTCTAAGATCGGCAATATCAACATCGTGACCTCCTTCAACCAAACCCCATCGGTCAACCTGTAAATCTTCTTCCAGCCTAATCAACTCAATCGCCTGCTCGATGCTCAACTGGCCACGAAAAATTCCGATTGCAATTATCAATGAGTGAGCAGCTGCAGCAATTGCATCAATTGCAGCCAGTTCACAGTCATCCGTCTTCTTAAGAACGTTCTCAACGGCTTTGACAAGACCATCCTCCTGTTTGCCACCAAAGAAGCTCGTGTACACAACGGGTTTGTACCCGAATTCTGATTCTACCCATTTAATAAGAGGTCCGAATTTTTCCACTTGAAGCTCTGTATATACGTACCAAATACATATATATACATAGTTGCACACATATTAGCTAGCCTATCAGGCAATTGGATAACCTCCATCATGCAAATATATTTCTATTTTCCTTTAGTACAGATATTTTAAAGCTCCACTTCATAGAGGAAAGATACTTCGCAAACCTCTTCCACTTACAAAATAAAGTCAAGGAGGTAACTGAAAGAAAATCAAATAGCAATTGGTCCACAGAAATGTACAGAAGCATTAAAAAGTAAAAATCCTCAAGTAGAGCGATTATTTATAAAAAAGAACATGCAGTTCAGAAGTAAATCATACATACGAACACTCTACATACCTCGGAGATCTTTTGTTAGATCATTGTCCCTTGGAGCACGACAAAAAATGAGATCTTGATGGAATTTTCTCATCAAATTTTCAATTATCTTTGGCCTAGTGACCGGTACTCTTTCCAATGCAGTACATGCCAGCTTCATCAGAGGCATTGTAAAGGGTCTTATCCCATCTGTTTGCTACAAGAAGAACGATTCAATCTCACGGTGAAACTTCAGGCATAACCCAAATTCACTATAGGACAATCTACAATTTTTATGTACCAAAATAACAAAAATCACCTTAGCACTTTACCAGTTCAAATTCTGTGTCAATCTACATCAATCAATGCATAAAAAACACCATGCTGATAAAATTAATACAACCTCTAAAAGCAGAATTTAGTATCAAACAATAAGGTACAAACGGCAATGCACCTGGTACTCCCATTCAGCTGCAATAGCTTTGGCAAGAGCTAAAGTAGGGCACTTAAGATTTCGCTTCGAAGGGGTTTTGAGGGTCCTGTAATCGAGCATCACGCTCCACCCAATCCCATCATCAGCTTCTCTCGTCGTCACCTTCTGGTAGAACCGCTTACCGACGATGGAACCGGTCATGAATGACATCGGCATTGTCACGGACGATGAAGACGATGACGTCGTTTTTTGGGGGCCTTTGATGTACAGTGTGTCATCTCCACCGCAATTGTCGGAAGGTTTCGGACGGTCGAGGACGTCGGAGGAAAAGGCGAAGCATGAGGGGTCGTCTTCAGATTTTCCGGCGGCCGAAGAGATGCTGAGCTGGCGGGTGGTGGAGGTAAGAGTTCTGAGGGCGTGAGAATTGATGGGTTTTAGGGTTTTCCTCACCATCGATGACGCCATTTTCGCGGCCAGGAAGACGGATGGAGACTGCGGTGAACTGTGTGATCGGAATCTGGACTCAATCTTTTCAGCTCAGCCCCATAGTACAGTTAAAGAATAGATATAATGGGCCTCTCTTGTTGGCTCAGACCCATACTGTGTTCAAGAATAGATGGGGTTGGTCCATACTTCATAGTCCTTAATTATCGTGGAAGGCCCAATGTTGTCCTACCATATTAAAGCTATGTATGGTAAAGCTAGTTGATAGCTTATAATTGATTTTTAAGTTTATAGCTTATATTTTATGACTTATGGCATGATTAGTAAAATGGAAAAAAATTTCATATGAATTGAATGAATTGAAGAATGAAATGATTATGCGAATGGAATGAAACAAGTTTTGTCATTGATGCGTTTGATATGCAGAAGGAATAAGACATGAATGGAATGACATTATTATTTTTTTTATAAAAATAAATAAAAGTTTTTTTATTTTAAAAAATAATATATTTTTAATAAATTAAATATAAATGTTTTTTAATAATATATAAAAATAAAAATATATTTTTTAATAATATATAAAAATAAAATAATATATTTTTCAATAATATAAAAAATATTATATTTTAAACAATATATAAAAATAAAATAATATATTATAAAATATTATATAAAAAATAATATATTCTTAAAATTAATATTTTTAATATATAACAAATAATATATTTTTAATAATATATAAAAATAGAAATTAGTAAATTTTTAATAATATATATTTTTATTTTTAATTAAAAAATAAATTAAAGTAAGTTTTCAAATTTTTATTTAAATTTTATTATATAAAATAATATATAAAAATAAAAAGTAATATATTTTAAATAATATATATTTTAAATATTTTTTTTAGAATATATTTTTAAAAGTAATATATTTTTAAAACATACAAATTTAAATATTTTTAATAATATATAAAAATAAAATAACATATTTTCAAAATAATTATTAATGCCTTTTTTAGTTCTATTTTATATAAGTATTTAATATATCTAATTAAAAAATAAATAAAAATAAGTTTTCAATTTTTTTATTTGAATTTTATTTTTTAAAATAATTTTATTTAATATACTTTAATCATGATTTATAATATATATTATATATTTATTTATTATTATTATTTGTTAATTTTAATTTTTGAAAAATTGATTCCTACACACATGGGAATGAGAAAATCTCAAATGAACTATGGAATGACTAATCCCATGGAGGTGGGTTTTGTCATTCCATTGCGAATAGTCATTCTTTTCCAAAAAATATACAAATCATGAGATAAAATAATGAGTAAGGAAATGATCATTCCATTCTCATGTAATTCCTTCCTACCAATCATGCCATTATAGTTGAAAAATTGGGTTATGTGATTAAAATGTTTGGTAAAATTAGCTGATAACCTAACTAAAATAAAAATTTCAACGAGCTTATTTGAAAAGATACCCAAAAATATTTATGAGATAAGTTCGTACTTTTTTAAAAAGTTCGTCCTGCCAAGCGAACCTTACTTGGATACAAGAAGTTATAAGCTAACTATAAGTTAGAAGTTATAACTTTCAAGTTATAAGTTATAACTATAAGTTATAAGTTATAAGTTAGCTTATATAGCTACCAAACATAGTATAAATAGCAAAATATTGAACTCGTAACTAAATCGGCTCCACTTGGATTGATTATCTAACGAGTCGAGTTGAACTCAAACCTGCACAAGTCGAGCGAGCTCACGAGCCACTTGTTTTATTTAATAGCTCTATTAAATTACAAGCAAAATTTATGATCATTGTTTTGTATGATATAATACTAAAATATTAAGAAGCAAATATATATGGAAAAAAAAAAAATCATTAGCTAGAGTAGTGTTAGTTAACTAGTACTCTGCATTCACATAAATTTCAATTTTATTTTAAATATTTTGCCTCGACTTTTCTCATAGTTATAGAAGAAACTAGTCACTTGTGAGTTAAATTTGATAAGGCTCGAAAATAAAGAATATATATATATATATA